TTTTCAAGTTTGAAATATTGGGCGACCTTTTAAGTTCCCAGTTTGACTACTCTGCTCACAGCCAACTGAATGAATACGGAACATATCTTAAAGAATAACCTTTTATGAATTAAGTTAATTAATTTTTATCTTATCATACAGCAATTCTGTACAATCTATTATAAACCTTATCAATGTTTCAAGATAGTCATAGAGGCTATTTTTACAAATTTCATAAACAGACAGACTTTCAAACAGAGTTTGCAATTTTCACCTTGTACTTTGTTATGTCCAAGTTTGATCCTATAAGAATGGTTCATAAAGTTTTGAAAAGAACGACTATGTAGTTAACATAATGAGCTCAGGGAGATGCGTTGCATAAAGGAACTGCGGATATAGGACGACAGAATGACATCAACCAATCACATATGGTCACCTCTGTGCGTTTTGCACATTAAACTCCCCTCCACTTTTGAGCATGGTACCTACACATTGTATCAATTTCAACATTTTACTATGCATAAAGGTTCAAAAAGTGTGCATTTAGTACAATTGCATTGATTACATTCAACACAACATTGAATTTGAGTATAATAGTATATTTTCTGGAACAATTGTTACCACTAACATCTTCTTACTTCATTATTTATTGCACAAAATGAGAAAGTAGAGCATTTATGTCGTATATCTGCAGTAAACAACTGCAATGATTATGCAATGGACGAAAGTTTAAGGCAACTGTCCGCTTATTAATTAAATATTTATGATACCGTTTAATAATGTTTAGATATTTAATTGATCAAATAGCATAATTACACCCTCTATGAATCCAATTGGATGGAGCACCCAGGTGTGCACTCTTCGAAGTTGTTGTCGTATAGAGCTCATCGGGGATGACTATTCGACGCTTTTCACTGAATAGTGCTGTTTTTGGAGTAACTGTTACTTTTTTGTCGGATAGAAATCCTCAGTCATCTTACGCAATGTGAATTGTGTTATTCATACATAGCTACAAGATATAAAATTTCATACAATAGTACATGTATAAGATTTTCTGTTTGTCTTGCAAATTATTGTTCGTCCGTCCGTTTACTGTCTTTATCTGTTCCATTTATCGTATATCTCTCTGTTCGTCTACCTGGATGCCTATTTCTCTTTCTGACTGTCCGTCTGTCTATCTTTATGTCAATGTAGAAATAACATCACATTTTGTAGTTAGGAATATTAAGATATTTAAGCCTTGTAAGTACATATCATTACTTGGCTGTCCGTCTGTTGTTAGTCCTGATTTGACACAATGAAAACTATGATATATTCTTAAAACTTGTTGAAATCATTGGGTCTAAACGAATAAATTACCCTACGTTTTTTGGAATTAATTATATAAGGTTTCTGTGTTTCTATTGTGTTCCATAAGGATCCTTATTAGGCGTTACATAGCATAATATCTAAATGATGTCTACATACAGAATAGTATAAAATGATGCCAGACCATGTATCCAGTGTAATCCAATTACATGCAAGTTGGGCCCTACTGGATCTTGTATTGCTCACTTAAACACGGTACCTATACCACGTGACTTTGTGATCAGCGTGGGCCCACTTATTCTATTCAATTATCCAATCCCCCACCGACTCCCCAACCCCAATAAAAATCAACAATATGAAAACAACCCTCTAAGTTCACTGCAACCGGTAAGTCAAATCGTTTGTTTAATTTAACGCTTTGAGAAAATCAAAATGGATGCCTCGAAAAATAATGGATATCAAAAAGTCATCCAATTACAAAATAATGATAAATTCTGTTGCAATAAATTGATTTCTAATAATGTCTTGCAAAAAAGTAAAGATTAGTAACGAAAACATTAATAAGCATAATGTTCGATGAAAACTTCAATTAATGAAACCGTTACCAGATACTCACCTTTGAAATGTATCTCTTCATTTGAAAAGTAAAAGCTGATATTGCAAGCTTTACTTCATAATGGTTAAAGTGTTCACAATTAATGAATAGATTTCTGACTTAGCATGTCTGGCGTGCATATCGCAGACTTTTGTAAGACGGTTTGTTCAGAATATTCAGGAAAAAAATAGCAGCTGTGTTTCATAAATTGTCCTCAAATGTAAGGCCATTTATTGCAAGCTGCGCAAAAGTATAAGCTAACAGTTTTGCCTGTCCGAGGCATTGTCATTGTTAAAATAAACATTGTATGGGCAACAATTCATCATTATTGCCTTGTTTTATATACATGTATATGTTTTGTGTTAATTCAATTGGGTATTGTTCTTTGTAAAGATGGGAATATAAATAGTGAACCTTTATAAACGTAATTATAGTACTATTTAAGAATGTTGCTACATAATAACAATAACATGTTTATTTCTGGCAAGTTTCCTAAATATATCTCTTCGAAACAATTTAATAAGTTTAACCGGGACACTCTTATACTGTTTGCACCACATTCCTAAAGGGAATCGTTTAAAATAATTGACGCCTAACAATTCATTTATTTACAATGTATCTGTTCTCTTATTCTTTGTTTAATCCATGTTCCCATTATTAGTTGTAACGGTCGTTAAACGTCTACGACAATGCACGTGGAAGGCATAACATGTGGTGAAATATACGATACCGTAGTCTATCATAGCCAACATAAATTCGTATGATTCATGCTAAATTTCTTTCAGTGTTTTTTTATTTTGCACGGACTCCCCACTTTTTACAATTTCACAATTTTTAACACGTTACATATCATTTCACCATTTTCATATTTAAATTTAAATGTTGAAGGTGTAACGGGCGTGTACGGTAGCCTGCAGTTACCACTACCGTCCATGATCAGATTTGATCAAACTGAGCCTGCATAAATTTTTTATTTTTGTGTTCTTTGGGAATCCTGTTTATTTGCACAAAACATTTAATTCATTGTTTATAAACAAACTTAAAATGCAATGACATATATGGTTTGGACCATGAAGTAAGACACTCTTCCAAATCATTCCAATACGTCAATGACAAGTTGTCTGAAAAACAACGGAAACATAATGAATGCAATTCTATTTTCAAAGTTTTAGAATATTTTTACTGGTTCTGAACAACCATACCCTATAATACTTTGGTCCTAACGCCAGCTAAATAAAGACGAATTTTGATTGTTTACATAGAAACTTTTACGCCAATGAGATTTTGCAAGTCATTTTGCAGTGAAGTAGTCGTAACAAAGCGCTAACGTCGCGTTTGGAGGAAATAAAATTGTCTTCACGCCAACTTATGACCCTCTCACGACCGTTACAATGCCTGAAATTTCATTGATTTCGAAATCGGTCCCACATCATTGCAACAGTGCTCTTGGACACCCGAAGGACATCTGGCACATGCTTTTAGGAACGCCAAGCCTCAAACACCCCTCTCCCCACCCCTATTAATCTCTTTGGAGTCAAGACGCCGTTTTATTGATGTTATAAAATGCTAGCTTTGAAATGCAAATCAGCAAAATTCGATGGCGCACGCCATTTATGAGTATCACATTTCACATGGATATCAATTTCAATTAAAATAATTTTTATCATTTTCTAAGATCCTTTCAAATAGTTCCTATGAAACAGTTTTTATTATGCCTGTATGAAAACTGTATCAAACATCTTTAATTGGAACTATGAATCAGTCTGTTTTTACCATCGCTACCCACTGTACCTGCTAGGTTTGTTTTGAGACTTCCAACAAAAACACAAAGTAAGGAAAATACTTTCTAAAAACACGCTGAATGATAAAACTAAGATAGAACGAAGAAAGAACCGTCTGAAATGTCTTTGGTTTTTCCCCCTCATTTTCTAGTATTTATGAGCATAAAAACTGAGTTGATTTAGTATAAGTTGTCTTAAATTATCTTGCAATTGCTTAGAACTGCAGATTTATAGCTTTGGAATTATATTGCAAAGTTCTTAGTGTGAGTATACAGTGTTTGTATAAAAATCGATGAATGAAATAGATACGTTTAAACATCTTTTTGTGATTTTTCTGCAATAACCAACAAATTCATATACACGTATGTTCTGGAATAACCAACAAATTCATATTTGTTCTGGAAAAACCAACAAATTCTTGTTAAAGTTTAATTGCAGTTACTTTTTTCATTGACTTTGTTTTGGAATAATCAACAAATTCATATTTGTTCTAGAAAAACCAACAAATTCATATTTGTTCTGGAAAAACCAACAAATTCACGTTAAAGTTTGATTACAGTTACTTTTTTTTCATTGACTTTGTTTACTTGTAATCTGATTCAGCATATATATTATACCAGAAATATCTATAATTCAATATTTTGCAGCGCGACAACAATTCAATTTTACATCATTTATTTTATTCAACACTTCTTCAAGTGTCTGTAGTGTTCACAGAAATACCATACAAACTACTTAGTTCAGATGATAGTAATTTTACTTTTGGATGAATAGTCTTAGTACACCGAAACTGGTAGAAACATGAATAAATCAGTTTACAAACCACTCTTGATATTCTGTGTGTGTATTCTCCTCCTGTTTTACTTTCTGTTTGTGGAGGATACTAATAGTTTAACTGGATACAGAGATTTCTCTACTGCTTCTACACCATTAAACAGGTCATTGATTTTTACAGTCTCACCTGAAAGACTTAGTAATATTAGTTGGAAAACTTGGGTTCGATCTTGTTACCTCAGGATTTATATCAGATATTGTTATTACTGGGTCAGTGTGACCACCTATGTTACAGTCAGTTCATATTGGACTTTATACAGAATGTTCCCATAGGTTGTAAATATCTAACAAGTGGTGTTCCCTGACAGTAATTAAAACAAAGAAATCAATTAGGCCGGTAGACTAAAACAGCACAAAGACAAAGTGTGTGGAAATTTTTCAGCTTAAATCTGCTGTTGTGAGTACAAAATTTCAAGGAAGCTCTCCCCAAACAACTATAGAATGTTTCCTACTCATGACTGAAACATACCTCTTCTAAATAAACCCCAAAACTTTCATTGATGTCCCACATTTTTTATTTACAATCAAGAAAGAACAAAACAGTACAAATCACAAAATCATAAATATAATATCAAATATAAATAAAAGCAATAAATAAAACATTTACATATAAGTATTTCAATAAACCTAACATGTGAAATATATTGTTCCCCTATTCCAGGACAGAGAACTCATGAAAAACTTATCAGTACCAACCAAGATTACTTCAAAATAAATAAGACCAAATTTATTATATACGTTGCCTCATCTAAGTTTTAGACAAAAGAGCTTGTTATACTTTATTGTTCATTTTAGTACTGTCAACCTCTTAAGGATTCAGCAACATTATGGCATTCCACCAAATTTCACAAGAAAAAAGTTTAAGTCCTATTATTATTAGTCCTATTAGGCTATTACTTACTTTCACTTGAACATACTAGAGGTAAGTTTTTTTCTGATTGGGATTTAAGTTAGACTAACACTGTAAAGGTAGCATGGTGACATTCCAGCTTTGTTTATAAAGGAAGACCTCGGGTGCTCCACTGTTGCATTATTTCAGATACAAGTGGGCACCTGAGTAGAACCTCTGCCTTTCTGTAAGCTAGCTAGGTGGTTTCCTCATATACAAGATATCCTTACTAAGATTCAAACCCAGGGTAGTGTGGAAAAAGTGGTGTAAAGTCAGCTGTGAGCCTTAACCACTTACCTCAAACTAAATAAGTGTCTATTTTATACACTTAAAACTTGGTTGCATGTACCTATAAATTAACCCAAATGTAATCATTTGAAACTGAACTTTTAATATACATGTATAAATGCCTATAATTTTAAAATTTGTAAAAATTTAAATATACATGCCAGTAGCCTACTTCACATTATTTACATGCAGCCCATTATCTTGGTAAGACACTTCAGTCCAATAATTTTCAGAAATGAAAGCTAACATTCTAATACAAATAATGTTCCTTTAGAAAGCTTTGCATTCCAAAAAGTGTAAAAATTATCAATGTTTTGCTATCCAAAAATATTAAAACATGTACTCTTTACTAACTGTTTATACAAGTAGTTGATTAGAATTTAATATATGCATTATAACATAACTTTATATAGACATAATTAGTAAGTTCAGATGAAACTAAAGTGATAATTGAAATTAAGTAAACAAATTTTTATCAAATATTATCAAACTTTCTAAATATTATTAAACATATATTATGCATATATAAACATGACAGTAACATTTTTTACAATAATTTGAATACCAAACATAACAACCAACAGAACATGTAATGAAAGAATACAAGTGTACACATAATAAGCTATTAAGACAAGACAATGAAAATAAAGTGAACTATTTGCAGTTGGGAGTTTATTATCATATCATTATTCAAATTACTGTCATCATATCTGAAGTAATAACAGTATGTCAATATTTCTACCTTCCAACTGTGCAATATTTAAATCTATTTCCCCTCACTATTTCTGTAATGTTAATTTCCCATAGGCCATTGGGAGTTATTCTTACTGTTAATTTAAGTGTATCATGTGACTTAAAATTTTGTACTGTTACATAAGTAACAGTACTTTTTCGCAATGAAAATCTGAAAAATAAAACCTTTAGAAACAGTGTCCAAATGAAGTATTTGTTAGAGGTAATAAAATCAATAACACATAGGTTTTCAACAGAAACAATATCATCCCTCTTAAAATACTTTTATCCTCGGCTAATGCCTTAGGTATCAGTATTTTTCTCAAGATGATATTTTTATTGTGTCTCACAAAACTATTTGTTATAAACATAACAACACACTTTATAATCTGTCAAAATTCACAAGAATGAGCATCTTTTTATCATATTATTTATTAATCATGAATTTAATGAACTGTATTTTTTTTCAGTAAAGACAGATTGTTGTCACATTTTCAGAATGATTCTACATGTAGAGATTGTCTATTCAATAAATACTGTTCATATATGCATAATATATATTTAAGTATCACAGCAAAATGTATAACTCATTTTAAAGAAGGATTTCAGCATAATTATATTACCAATGCAGTAACTTCATTTTAACACCAAGTCTAGGTAGTCCATTCAGAAATAACAACTTTTATCAAAAGTGTTGCTAAAATAATTACCATATTAAATAATAACCGTATCTTAGTATGCTAATATGACTTCTTATACAGAATAGTGTAAAAGATTACCAAGTATTGTATTTTACACTATAAAACAAAAATGACTCAGTATAATTGCATAAAAAAGAAGAAGAAAAATCCATTATCTCAGCAAAAAATCCCACCATGTTTACAAGCATGTCAGAGAAATTATGTTGCCAGGTTGATAAGTCAATTGTTTTATTTCTCTGTATAAGTTTTTCTGGAAATAGTTTTTTGTCAGAAAAATTACCCCTAAATAAATCAGCAACAAACAAATATTATTTCCTTTGACATCTGAGGACATCAGGATTTTATTTGTTCTTTTTAATTAAGAGTAAAAGAATTGTTTACTTAACAAAAACTACATATATTATCTAAGAGAGAGATGGTTGAAGAAAAAAAATCAATAATCAAAACTTTATAAACGAAAATACAAAACAAAAGCATGTGACCAGTCAAACAATTCTGAATTAGTACCAACTACTGTCAATAAATTAACAGGTGTGTATGAGAAGGTAACTTTATGGACTTCCTTGTACTCATGTGTGTACTTATTCTGTCTTACATAGTCTATATCTGACTGACTGGGAACAATAATCATAATAATCTACTCTACTGACATAAAAATGTGTTACTTTCCACCCTACATAGTTAAATTCACCAACAATAAACCACATTTGGTCCCTGACCTAGGCATACATTTAATTCTCGCAGTCCAACCAAATTCGAAAGGTACTCTCTTAATTATGATTTGTTAAATGGACTGATTGAAGCATTATATAAGACTTAGTCTCCTGCGTGCATTAAATATGGATGTTAGATCAAATTTAGATGATTAAATTTCCTATGCCACCTGTCTCTCCTTCTACCCTTTTTTAACAGTCTATATCTTTTTAGATATTTTGTGTCTACCATCTCTTTTCTCAATGTTTCTTTCTAGATTAGTTTTAACATTGTCTGCATCTAATTTTGTTCTAACTTTATCATCACTGGCAATCTTTTGAACACCTTCAGCATTATTTTGTCCACCAATACCACTTTTATTGCCAGTGTTTGAGGCAACATTCACAGCCTGTTGTCCTACCTGTTGTCCTACCTGATTAACATTTCCAGCAGCTATATTACCCTTATCAATATTATTATTCTGTTGAACATTTTGACCAACATTAGGATTGTGATTTAGTAAATTGCCGTTATTTTGTGTGTCAAGTTTTGGAGCACCTGCTTTTTGACTAATCATGGCTGGAACACTGGCTTTAAGTTTTTCAGGAATGAGTGGTGGTTTTGGTGAAGTGGCTGGAGCTGGTGTAGTCACTGAAGTTATTGGTGGAGGAACGTGGAAGAAATATAGCTGTAAAATACAAGAGCAGATACAATGTATTGTCATACTCATCTTTACATCAGATATCTATATCAATTGTTCAAATCAATATTTTTTCTAACTTAGCTATATGGTTCAGAAATCATCAAATGAAATAAATAGTTCACACCATTCTGATGCACACATTTGTTTGAAGATCTGCTGACTGTTTAAATCACTACTTGTTTAATTCACTACCAATTTCTTAATAATTTCAAATACACATTAAGTTACTATAATATTATTCTCAGTATATACATGTATATGCAAGATCTATAGGCACAATGTCACATTCTGATAGGTAAGATGTAAAAATAATCATGAAATCTGGGGTCCTACTATATATTCTTAACAAAATTGTCTTTAAGATGAAAGAATAATTTTTCAGTTTAACAGGTTACCAATCAAAAGATGTAAAATATTTTTATTTATTGTCTTTCAAATAAACTAACTGTAAATTTTGAAATCTCTGCCATTAGAGTTCACAAAGGTTGTTATGACCTTGCAACTTATGTAAGCACACACAGTTCCTATCAAAGCTTTTACTAATTAGAAAATAAAGAATAAAAGACAATATTCATTATACATCATAAAAGCTATATAATGTTCATTCTTTTCAGTTAGTATTTTTTCTTTCTGATTTATCATTATTAATCTGTAGCTGAGTTTTATTTCATGCTACCACTGTTCAGGTCATATGACAGCTTTCCTGATATATTACTGGTAAAAGAGTAGACATCAGGTGCCCCTACTTGTATAATTACATTCTCAAATAAAACAGTGACCTGAAGCTACCAATAACTTCCTCCAATGATAGAAATCAGCATCCCTGACTTGAAACTTACCTACACAGGTCTAGAGGTAAGGTGTCCGGGTATAGCTTGGTGATAAATTAACAGCTGTATCCAAGGATCATCTTAACACTGTCATTATTTATTCCTTAATATGTTCACCTAGTTATTGAAACTTTGCAAGCAATCCTATTTTACAAAAACAAGCTGTACCCAGGGATCATCTTAACAGTGTCATAATTTATTCCTTATGTTCACCTAGTTATGAAATATTTACAGGCATTTCTATATAACATCACATATCAATTTATACTTACAACAAAACCTGCAGCAAGGGCAAGATGCAACAAGAAAACAAGACCTAGGAACACAGCAGCCACATTTTTCGTCTCCTCTTTCACTGCGGGCCAGAATGTTATGACAAGTACACCACCGGACAATACCGCACCAACAACAACCAGAACCCACTTTAACCAAGTGACATTTATAACCCACAATATCTGTAACATAATACCATTCATAAAGCCTCTTTTATTACAACAATTTATTAAATAGGTCACCAATATTTCTCTGTATTTAACATAGAAATATTACACAGTTCATTCACAAGAGGCTTTTAGACCAATAAATATATATATCTCTTGATTTGATATTAACTCAATAAAACATATTTTAGCTGAATTAATTTTTTTTCTTGTGAATAAAGTATATTAAAATTTGTAAAATGATCTTAACGAATCTTCAACTTGAGTTCTATTGTACAGAACATAATTGTTACCATGGCAACAACAGTTGTTTTTTTTTAATTTCTCCTAACAATACTTACAGAGATTGGTATATATATGGCTAAAGAATAACCATAGACACACAATATCTCTAGGAATGTAAAGCCAGCCTGTGATTTTCTCCACCATAAAAACCCATACATTGTTGCCGGTATAAGCCACCAATAGCTGAAGATTGCTGTTGCCGCAAAAGTTACTGCAAAATAAATAAATAAGTAAAATATGATATCCTCTTTAATCAGAGTCATTTCCTGGGGAACAATTTTAAAAGTCTTGCTCTCCTTTTATATATGATTTATATTGTCAATAAGACTTATAATAACCAGAACAGAAGTCTTAGATTTCCTCATATCAAAACTAACATTGTCATAACAAATATTCATAAAATGTTACAAGGGAAATGTATAAGGGAGAAAACTCTGTGATATTAAATTATCTGATAATTTAAGAAAAACAAATTCACAATTGAAGTTTTATTGATGAAAATTGGATAAATCAAAATAAGATTTATTTTGGCATGATTATATAACATAAAACACACAAAACACTTGGTGGCAATCATTACAGAAAGTATAAAATACTTCAATGCATTAAATTGTTAAAAATTATTAATAAACATAACCTGCCTACATAAAATATAATGTATTATTAAGTATATGATATAGACTTATTCAAGTTATCTAAAAGATACTGTTTCAAAGCAAGTTTATAAAGCAGACAAACTAAAAGTTTGAGAGGTATTGGCTGGTAGCTTATTCTATAGTGATCAACCTTTACAACAAAATTTACTTGAACCACTGACTTTCATATTGAAAAGGTACACTTATTACATAATCAAGTGTTATAGCTATGTACAGTATCCTGAGAAGTAAAATTATCTTCCATATTGGCTGAGACTAAACAAAATTTGACTTTAAAAACATAACATAAAAAGATCTGCTGTGTGTGTTGTTTATCAGGTAACCAATTAAGCAACCTGAATTGTATACAATCAAAAAAGATGTAAAAAGGCAAAATTTCTGCATTTGCATCAGTATCTATTTATTTTTCAAAAATATATAAACAACTTTAAGCAGTATTGTCTGTTTTTATATTTTAGCATGTCTTATTGCTAAACAGCATTATTACATGTATTTCGCATATAAAATGTGAGTTTTACATAAAGACATAACATTAACACAGTGACATTAAATATTCAATTGGCTTTTTCATTTATTAGTATGATTATACTTTTTTCATGATTATACCTCACACTTTCACTATTAAACATGTAAAAAATAACATCTTAACTAGATGACAGCTACCAGTGTTTGCTTTATTTTTAAATTACACTTATAAATTATTTTTACAACTTTTATCTGAAACTTAATATCCTTCCATTTCCCAAGATGCTCTATTCCCTCTATGACACAGGTGTATTGTTCTGGATTTTCTTTTTTTTTTTTTTGCTTTTTTGCTTTTTTTTTCAATTTTTAACTAGAACTGCCACTATCATGGCATGAATACCCCCGCATACCACTTTGTCAGAATCAACAGTGGCCATTTAGAGCTCAAGGACAACCTCCCTGCCAAATCTGAGGTTACTAAGCCAGTGCATTGCTAAGTTATGTATTCTACATGCTTCAAATGTGAAAATGTCAAAATCAATACATTGCGGACAGGACATTCTTTAGCAATTGAGAAGAAAAGCTTTTTTTTGTCAAGGTCCCTGTGACCTTGACCTTTGACCCAGTGACCTCAAAATCAATAGGGGTCACCTTATAGTCATGATCAACATCCATGCCAAATATGAAGACTGTGGGTCAAAGGAATCTTAAATTAAGGGGTGGACAAACTTTTTGAAGTCAAAGTCCCTATGACCTTGACCTTTGATCCAGTGACCTCAAAATCAAAAGGGGTCATCTACTAATCATGATCAACATCCATGCCAAATATGAAGACTGTGGGTCAAAGGAATCTAAAGTTATTGGGCACAAATTTGGTCACAGCAAAAATTCCTTCCTTTACTACCATCTACACATTAAGGTTGTTCATCCCTGTAAGTTTAAGCAAAATCTGCCATCCGGTTTAAGAGGAGTTGCGTTCACAAAATTTCTACATAGTATCTAGTGAAAAAATCAACAAAGGGCCATAATTCTGTTAAATTTGGTCGCAGCGAAAATTCCTTCCTTTACTACCATCTACACATTAAGGTTGTTCATCCCTGTAAGTTTAAGCAAAATCTGCCATCCGGTTTAAGAGGAGTTGCGTTCACAAGATTTCGGGACGTACGGACGGACTGACGGACAAGTGCAACGCTATATGCTCCCACATTGTGGGGGCATAAAAAGATCTGCTGTGTGTGTTGTTTATCAGGTAACCAATTAAGCAACCTGAATTGTATACAATCAAAAAAGATGTAAAAAGGCAAAATTTCTGCATTTGCATCAGTATCTATCTATTTATTTTTCAAAAATATATACAGTCAACTATCGTTATCTCGACATCGCTTTTCTCGATATTTCGTTATCTCGATGAAATTTTGAAAGTCCCGATTTTCTTCCTTCTTTATCTTTATTGGAAATATTTGTTTATCTCGATATTTTTATTTCGATATTTTCAGTATCTCGATGTAAAATTTCAGCCCCAACAGTTATTTTCACACTATTATCCTTTGTTTATCTCGACTAATAGTTTTCTTTCGTCTGTTCCCTTCAGACGTGTGAAAAACACAAACTAGACGATAATTGCTCAATAGCGCGTGTCATAATGATGATTATGTTTGTAACAAGTTTAGCTGTTTTTATAAAAGTTAATCTATTTAGCGTGTTGATTGACTTATGTCCAAAATGAGTGAATTTTACATTCTTTATAAATATTCGAACACTGAATCAATTAATTATGACTTTAAATGTAAATGAAATAGTGAAAGTATAGAAACGCTATCGTTTCACAACATCAACACCAAATCAATCAGCGGTCGAACAATCTCGAGAAGACCCGAAAAATAACACGGGAGGATATCCGGATCAACCACCCTGAAAACAATGTTTTCACTATATTGGTGTATTACTGAGTAAACCTCACTATGCTTTTTGATCACAAACACCCGTATTTCCGCTGGTAAACATACGCTAATGTTACTTTGTGAAATATTGACCAGGCCTATGAAAAACAAGACATGGGGATATTAGATTATTTGACATAAGGTATGCACTTGTCTTTTGTAAAATCAGTTCCTGCCTTATTCAAACACTAATTTGTTTGTCTCGACATTTCGTTATCTCGATATTTTTGGACGGTCCCGATGACTTCGAGATAACGAGAGTCGACTGTAAATAACTTTTAGCAGTATTGTCTGTTTTTATATTTTAGCATGTTTTATTGCTAAACAGCATTATTACATGTATTTCGCATATAAAATGTGAGTTTTACATGAAGACATAACATTAACACAGTGACATTAAATATTCAATTGGCTTTTTCATTTATTAGTATGATTATACTTTTTTCATGATTATACCTCACACTTTCACTATTAAACATGTAAAAAATAACATCTTAACTAGATGACAGCTACCAGTGTTTGCTTTATTTTTAAATTACACTTATAAATTATTTTTACAACTTTTATCTGAAACTTAATATCCTTTCATTTCCCAAGATGCTCTATTCCCTCTATGACACAGGTGTATTGTTCTGGGTTTTCTTTTTTTTTTTTTTGCTTTTTTGCTTTTTTTTTTTATTTTTTAACTAGAACTGCCACTATCATGGCGTGAATACCCCGCATACCACTTTGTCAGAATCAACAGTGGCCATTTAGAGCTCAAGGACAACCTCCCTGCCAAATCTGAGGTTACTAAGCCAGTGCATTGCTAAGTTATGTATTCTACATGCTTCAAATGTGAAAATGTCAAAATCAATACATTGCGGACAGGACATTCTTTAGCAATTGAGAAGAAAAGCTTTTTTTTTGTCAAGGTCCCTGTGACCTTGACCTTTGACCCAGTGACCTCAAAATCAATAGGGGTCACCTTATAGTCATGATCAACATCCATGCCAAATATGAAGACTGTGGGTCAAAGGAATCTTAAGGGGTGGACAAACTTTTTGAAGTCAAAGTCCCTATGACCTTGACCTTTGATCCAGTGACCTCAAAATCAAAAGGGGTCATCTACTAATCATGATCAACATCCATGCCAAATATGAAGACTGTGGGTCAAAGGAATCTAAAGTTATTGGGCAGACAAACTTTTTGAAGTCAAAGTCCCTGTGACCTTTGACCTGGTGACCTCAAAATCAATAGGGGTCATCTACTAATCATGACTAACCTCCATGCCAAATATGAAGACTGTGGGTCAAAGGAATCATAAGTTATAGGGCGGACAAGCTTTTTGAAGTCAAGGCCCCTGTGACCTTGACCTTTGACCTCAAAGTCTATAGGGGTCATCTACTAATCATGACTCACCTCCATGCCAAATATGAAGACTGTGGGTCAAAGGAATCTTAAGTTATTGGGCGTACAAGCTTTTTGAAGTCAAGGCCCCTGTGACCTGGACCTTTGACCTGGTGACCTCAAAGTCAATAGGGGTCAGCTACTAATCATGACTAGACTCCATGCCAAATATGAAGACTGTGGGTCAAAGGAATCTTAAGTTATTGGGCGGACAAGCTTTTTGAAGTCAAGGCCCCTGTGACCTGGACCTTTGACCTAGTGACCTCAAAATCAATAGGGGTCATCTACTAATCATTACTTACCTCCATGCCAAATATGAAGACTGTGGGTCAAAGGAATCTTAAGTTATTGGGCGTACAAGCTTTTTGAAGTCAAGGCCCCTGTGACCTTGACCTTTGACCTAGTGACCTCAAAATCAATAGGGGTCATCTACTTATCATGACTAACCTCCATGCCAAATATGACGACTGTAGGTCAAAGAAATCTTACGTTATTGGGCGGACAAGCTTTTTGAAGTCAAGGTCCCTGTGACCTTGACCTTTGACCAAGTTATTGGGCGGACAAGAAAAAACCGACGGACAGCCGGACGGACGGACAAGCTGATTCCAGTATACCCCCCTTACAACTTTGTTGTGCGGGGGTATAATAATCAATATCAGTACATTTTTCTTCTTTATTTTTCATTGTAATTTTAGATAAACTTCATACAAGTTTCAATAGAAAGGGACAGAACCTATTTTTCACATGAAAATAAACATCATTGCAAGTTATCTACACCCAATCATTTGAAACATTGTAAATCTGAATTCTATTTACACCAGTCAGTTGTAGCCATGGCACAACTACACCAAATGAATGGTAAAATTATAACCTGAGTTGTCATACTTTTAAACTGGTGGTCTTGTTTTGGCACAAAAATGGCTAGATATATATCCAAATCACAATGCAGGGGCTTTCAAAGGTTATTTTACCATCTGCCTGTCTTTACAGGGCTGGGCCTTTGCCACAGGTTTGAAAATCAAAAAGGTGTAATGCTAACTATAATGATGTAATGTAAATATGTAACAAACCTTTATGAAAATCATATCTCCAATGGTAATCCTTGCCAGCTGAAGACAGGTAGTTGGCAAGATTTCCTGCTATAGCAGTTGTGAACACTAATGTTGTACAAATCCAAAATGGGCCTAAAATATACAATTAAAACATAAAATTATACACTGTGAACAGAGCCTGTAATAAAAAATACAGTTAAAGCTGAAAACAATGAGTAATATACACAATTGACCAACATTCAGTGTTATATTCAGTCTGGCTGGAGTTAGGTTCCCTAAATAACTGATCCGAAAATTAGAATAAACTTTCATTATTATTTTGGGTTCTAACAAAACTTTCTACTTTAATTTTCATTGAAAATTTTACTACTGAATAAAAGTAAAAGTAAAAAGTCTTACAACTTTTAAGAATAGATTACCGTATAGATCAGGATTAGGTCGAATGTTGGCCTGCAAGTAGTTCCTTTTGGGTAGTGGCATCATAGAACCTGCAACTCTGTTGAACACTTGTGTGGTTTCTACATCAAAGAACTGCTGGTAGTACTCAAATGTCCAGAATGAAGGTGCTCTTTTATCTCCATCTTCCTTCAGTAACTGTTTATATCAATTATTTGTTGTGAAAAAATGTTTACGACACATATTAGTTTTATCATATATATTACAGATTTAACACACTCAGATTTTTTTTTGTCAAGTACAACATAAGATGTATTGTCTTGTCAATTAATGTGGTGGCAATACAAAATATAAATGACAGCAAAAATATAAATGATTACATCAAAGCAAAAACGTGATGAACATTTGTATCATGTAATACTTTATTCCAACCATGCATGTAAAAGATATGCTCCTAAAAAATCTCAACACTACTTCTACAATCGCCACCCATGGGCAATCCCATATTACAACCTGTTTTGGTTTTTTTTCCAAATTGATGTAAAACAAGAACTGTTGGAAGACAGTAATGCTTGACTATTCGAAAAGTTGTCACAAGGGTGTTTCATTGAGTATAATAATGCTTACCTATATAAATACATAAAATTGTCTGAAAAGGTACAAACCCTTCATACCAGCTTACAAGCAAAAATTTACCAAGAATTTCTAAGTCGAAAAAGGGGCATAATTATGTAAAAAAGCAAATCAGAGTTATGGGACTTGTGCCCATCATCTAAGATAATCATAGACAACAAGAGTGTGAAGTTTCAATCTATTCCCTTCAGTAGTTATGGAGATACCACCTTACACACAAAAACTTAACCAAGAATTTCTAAGTTGAAAAAGGGGCATAGTTATGTAAAAAAGCAAATCAGAGTTATGGGACTTGTGCCAATCATCTAAGATAATCACAGAAAACAAGTGTGTGAAGTTTCAATCCATTCCCTTCAGTAGTTATGGAGATACCAGCTTACACACAAAAACTTAACCAAGAATTTCTAAGTCGAAAAAAGGGGCATAATTATGTAAAAAAGCAAACCAGAGTTATGGGACTTATGCCAATCATCTTATATAATGACAGAGAACAAGTGTTTGAAGTTTCAATCCATTCCCTTCTGTAGTTATGGAGATACCAGCTTACACGCAAAAACTTAACCAAGAATTTCTAAGTCGAAAAAGGGGCATAATTATGTAAAAAAGCAAAACAGTGTTATGGGACTTGTGCCAATCATCTTAGATAATCACAGAGAACAAGTGTGTGAAGTTTCAATCCATTCCCTTCAGTAGTTATGGAGATACCAGCTTACACGCAAAAACTTAACCACATGGACGCCGACAAAACCACAGGGACGCAGACGCTGACATATGGGTGACTGCATTAGCTCGATTATTCTGCGAATAGTCGGGCTAAAAATGAATTTCGGAACATTTAAGATATATGACTGTAGTTTAAACAATACATACTGATAGAAATTTTTTATATACACATAGTACTTTACACATACCTGAGATTTATCGCCGGAATCTTCATCATCTACAGCAGAATCCGGGAAATTTGTGAATGTTATTGTATGTCCTCCACTTTGATCAAACAAAACATCATCACCCCCACTATCATGAAAATCTAACCCATCTTTACCACTCTGTGAATATTGAGATAAAAAATAATTAATCTACAAATATTATGTTACAAGAAGACAGTGAAACCAATGTAACTGTTTAACACTATACATGAAGCCTGTTTTCCAAAAAAAAAATCAAACTGAATGCAATTAAGAAGTCAAAATTTATCATTTTCCTAATTCTTGGATGCGATTGGGCAGACAATTGGAAAAATTATGGACAATCATCAACAGACAGACAGAAATGTTATGTATTAAGTAAATCAGCACTAATATTTGATGTTTGAACATAACAAAGAAATTATAACAACATTTTTGCAGTTTTCATCAATGAAAATAAGTACATAAATGTGATAATTTGAAAATAATTTAACTAATTTAAGATGGGGTTATGGTTATCTTGCAGTGCACTTCTGATAGTTATCTATTCATACTGTAAGTTTTACTGGAATCTTCCTAATACTTGCAGCATTGATAGATCCCTACTCTGATTTTATTTTAATAACAATAGATATAAACACAAACATTGACATGTGCTCTTTGTAAACAAATATGTTGTGGTGAAATTGTTACTATATCCACTAATCTGGTAATAAGAATTATATAGGTCTGGGATCTATGCAGTATTTTTGGGCAAGGAAAAAAACAGGCCATGTTAACCTTTGACCTGTAAATGTGAACTTGAACTTTGCGGTAGAGGTCAGGGTGTTGGTAGAGGTCAGGGTGTTGTGCATGATACCTTGCCCTAATATGGTATACCGGTATGTGCAAACTTATTTCAAAATCTTTTTTAACACCATCAAACCATTCATATGTGTACTGTAGAATGGTACTAGATACATGGCACACTTGTATGTGCATTACTGAAATAAACTAAATTCTGTTTCCTATTGGGAGGTGCTCTTGGGTACTGGGTACCAAGTACTTAATATTTCTATATATTTGTGAAATGAAAAAGGCTCTAAATTTACTTATTTTACTGGTATTTACTGCTGCATCTTTACTTTTAAGTATAGGTTTCAATCAAATTTAAAGTCAATGATCAAACTCCAAAGACAATAACAATTAGTCCAATCTCTGATGTTTATAGGTGGCTCTAGTTATGCAAATAAGCACATGTTTGACTATCTTTATTTTATTTTTTTAGATGGGTGCATTTTAAAATAATCAATTGCATACTTTCTAAAATTAATTGTGTAAATAATATAATGCAAATATGCACCTTATCTATTGCTCTAATATTGATTATTTTGTGCTTGTAATGAAATCATAACAGATTTCAGTCATAGTTAGCACTTAATTTCATATTTATTTTATAACACAATGCTTGCAACACAATGCATGCACAGTTTGGAAACCATTGTGAAAAGATTATTCAAGTAGTTCATGTAGTATTCAGGCCAGAACATCATCAAGGATGCCAAGCTTAGCCTCTTAGGCAGATTTGGGAGCTTTTTCCCTTCTTGTTATTATTCTTCAACTTCTTTGTGAGGGTTCCCATATTATTGTAAATGTTTATTGTATATCCATCAATTTATTATACACAATATCACTTTCTTTTACACCTTATAGATTAATTTACACATAAAATTTTCTTGTTAAAACAACTGGACAAAAATCTGTTCGTTTGTTGTTTACAGTGATTTTTTTTCCAATTTTCAACCTGTGGCTTTCTGAAGAGGAAAATCTCACGCAATAAATCAGCAAAGGGGGAAAACCTGAAAATCAAATTCCAACAACTGAAAATGGAATTTACCCACACATTTTACAGTTTTATGAAAAAAAATAATATCAGTTCAATTTAACATGCATGGTACATAGCAAAGGCTATCTATAGGGATGGCTTTGATATAAGTCAGATGCTGTTAAGTCATGGTTCTGGTAAGGAAGAGCATGAGGCATTTTAGGGGAAAATATTAGCATTTTTAGGGGAAATTATACCTATTTCGGGCTAGGGGAAACAGCCTTTATTCGGCTGTAAAATACAGTGAAAAAAAATCACTGGTTTAATATCTGATTATTATAACTTCACTGGGTTTAATAACAATTTGCATTAAACTTATTTTGATAGATTTGTAGCCTATTCAATTTTGTCTTGAATTAATTCTATGATGTAGCTTCTTCCTGAAGTTGAATTTCCTCATTGTGCGGCTGCCCATTAAAGAAGCACGCCTCTAGATTAGTGCTAATATTCATGAAAAATTTGAAAATGTAATTAATGAATATTTTGTGAAGTTACCAAAAGGAAGCAATTTACACATTATCAATGGCACTTACAATCCACTTAAATTACCAAAAAGAGAAAAATATATGCAAAAATAGCCTTAATTGTGTTAGAAACTCAGTAGAAATATAGTTATTAATACTGAAAAATCAGTCATTAATTGCACTACACATGTAAATATTACTTGAATCTAGAATTTTTTCACTTTTCTTAAAATCATTTTACATTTTTCTCATGTTTGATTTTATAAACATACTTTTGCTCATCTGGAGGCATGCTGCTTTAATGACAGAATATAGTTTGATGTCGTCTGCAAAGAGTTTCGCTGTGCAAATAATTGCATCTGGAAGATCATTTTAATTTATAAATATTAGGAATAGAATAAGTCCTAGTACACTACCCTGAGGGACACCACATGTTACTGTTTGCCATCCTGAAAACGTTCCATCATCTTTACTCTTTGTTGACTGTTTTCAAAAAAAAAATTTTGATCAATTCATAAATTTTACCTCTAATACAGATTTTGAGAGATTAATTTCTTTAATGGCTTTCATTGTGATATTTTTCAGTTATTTCAGTATCAGTTTATAAATTGTTAATTTTATTTTCTGCTATTGGTATCAGCTCTGTTTCCATTGTTAATACAGATATGAAATGTCTATTAAATTCCTCAGCAGTGTTTGAGTCATTTTAACATTTATAACCGTTAGTATTGATTATGTTGATTCAAGATTTTGATTTCTCTCAATATTTCCAAAAATTTATTTTGATTTTGTTTAATATTATCTACAGTATTTTGTTCAGTTTTATATTTGAAACGTTTCAGGTGTATCCCTACCTTGTTACGTGCTATTTTGAATTCATTATATGTATAATGGTTCTTGTTGTGTTGATATTTGATCCATTTTTTTCTTTTTTTCTCTTATGGCATGGGCCTTGTCTATATACATATACCGATTCTTTTGTCCTGGAGGTATCTATACTTTTGGTTAACAGTTTACATGGACACTTGACTTGTTAATCAAACATGTAGCAAAAGGTTAGTTGCATCACCACCATGAGTACTTGATATACCTATGATCTCATTAGCTTAAATTTTTATATGACATCTTTCTCCAAGTAATGTCAGGGCACATTTTGTCAAAATTGTGAAGGGGCCTGGGCCTGTTGATTTTGTGGAAAAAGCGTGATATTTGAAAAAAACGACATATTACTTGGCATTTCGCAACATTTTGAAACCTGAAATGGTTTATTATAATTTCTGACCTGTATAAAATCTGCTTCAAGTTGGTACTTTAACCCGCTTAACATGCGCAAAAACCATTTTCTTGATTAAAACTATTTCTGTGTTATTACAATTGGCGTAAATCAAGTTTTACCAGAAGGTACACATGAATGTATTTCGAAGAGAAAGTCCCAATATTTTGTGAAATCTCTTTTGAAATTTGCCGCTTTGTGAAAAAAAAAACCCAATTTTGAATTGTGAAGGGGCCTTATATCGGCCCCTGTTATAGAAGGAAAAAATGCCCTGAATGTCAAGCCCATCGCGGGAAAGTTTAATTAGAATAAGTATCCCAGTGTAACCTAAATTTGGCGATATAAGAATAAATGTCAATGGCATTTTCAATTAACTACAGTTATCTATAATTATACTTGATATCATTTTACTGCAACTATTTTAAAGTTACTTAAAGTTGATTTCTAACATTGTAATCGTTCAGCGGTTGCCAAATATAAACAAATATGGCTGATGTAAAATCTTACTACGATCTGAAAACGTCACCTAAATTCGGCGATTCTGATTGGTTGCAGTAAATTTTTAATTTTGGCGGGATTGTGACGTAGTATGTTGACCTAGATCGGCAGTAAAAATAGTAAGATAACAGACGGCGACTGTCAAATTATTTTAAGCAACAATATCAATCAAATAGAGGAAAGTATAGATAAACTTGAAATTGCATCAGGTAAAACACAATTTTCTCCATGTCATATACAATTTTTAATGTTTACCAGCCGTATCTCAATCTTTAGAGCAGAAAATCACTCGAGTTGTAAAAATAGACTGTGGAACATAAATATGATTGACCTTCACCTCTGAAATCTCGCGTAAATGACGAAAAACAAAACAGCGCCGAATTTAGGAGAACCCCAAATTTGGGTCGCGGTACGATATAACTATTAACATTGTCCTAGTTCTGGCTTCCATAACTTTATATGTTGCTTTAATTTTGACGTTGCGACAGTAAGAACAGGTCTAGCAGTACTATAAAACCTGTTCGCTGAAGTCTCTTTGGCTAATATTGTCCAAAATCTTATCCAAAATATTCTATCCGGATATATTTACAGTTGAAGATATATGGATTTCTAAAGATTCAACATGCACTAACATTTTATTAGATATAAATAAAAAATTCTAAAACTGAAAAAAATGTTTGTTGTGGAATATTACATTCACAACAGTGCGTGTCTTACCATTATTACAATTTTTTCTTGTTTCCACGTCAATATTTGTAATTCAAGAGTTGTTTCCCTTTTGTTACACACGAAACGCTTGAAAAGTGTAATTTTCAATGAGCGTTTCTTCAGCATGTCTCGGTTAAACAAATTTATCTTATTCCGGATTCTCTGGAGATCAAACACCACTGTGCCAGACGAGCCAAAGAAAAGTCTATTTCAGAAATTAGGTAGTATAACAAAATTTTCTATGAAAAAATTCCGACAGACTTTTTTTCCGCAACTCTTATGTCCTTTAAACTTGACTAGCATTCGGTTAAGATATTTTTGGATAATAATTTTTGAGAAAGTACTATACTAAAACTAGTAGTAATTAATTTTATAGATTTAATCTCCATCACAGGGAGAAAAAATGTGCAGCCTGACATGGACTTGAACCTGGGTCTTGGAATACTTGTCCACGGCTCTACCACTATTCACCGCTTACACATTTTCTCTCATTAATAGTGAACCGTTCTGTACTGTGACAAACTCCCCTGCTACGTTCATGTAGTAATTCATCCCTGAATATCTTGAGGTTACAGTGCAATGCTTATTAAACTCTGAGCTACATGCAGTCATGGCCCAAAGTTGGGCGCCATATGTCTCTGGGTGAGAAAAATATGCAGCCTGACTGGGACAGTGGGACTCAAACCCAATACCCTCGAAATACCATTCCGCGGCTCCACCGACTGAGCTATCCAGCCACTTAACATCTGCTCCCCTAAATAGTGAACAGTTCTAAACAGTGAGTGAATGACATTTCCATAATCTTAAACTTCAGGAGAAGAATTCTATAAGACCTAGTCTTTCATTCTAATCCTCTTCTTTGAATATTGTCAAATTTTGTATGTGTATATATTTCAAATTTTTTTATGTACATATTCTGAGAATAAATATGTTTAAACTAAACTTCTACTATGCCTGCAAAATCAATGTGAAGTATAACCATAAGGCCTTGTCAGGGAAAATTCAAATGTAAGTGTATTGGCATGCTTAATCTGACTAAAGACAAGTTCAGAGCCTAAATATGTTTAGTCAAGTAAATTTTATTTATAAGTCGGATTGATATAAAAATAAACATATAAGCTCTGATAAGGGGGGGTAATCGATTCATTGATATCGGTGTATCAACGATCTTTGTTATCCGATTCGATATCAATTCCATTTTTTAAATATCGGATATCAAATGCACACATATTTCTAGCTAAAGAGACTTCATCAAACATGTTTTATAGTACTGATGGACCAAACGCTAATATAAAAGCGACATATAAAGTTATGGAAGCCAAAACTGACATATTTCAAACATTTTTTTATCTAAAACGAAAACGGAAATCAACACCAGAGTTACCTTCCAGTGTCTGTAACGAATGCTGCCGAATTTCGTTGTAATCTCGCAATTCTGCTAAGTGGGGGTCAAGACCCCCCCCCCCCCATTCAGATTTTTAAAAGGGAAAATGGCCAAGAAAATTTTTGTAAGTGTTTCTTTGTAAAAATTATGATTACATATGGTAAACTTTAATGATTATTCCGCTTCTAAACACTAAAATTTGCCAATTAAATTCATTACCGATATATCAATACAAAAATCTTTATTGATGATACCCCTACCTCTGATGAGCTTTTCACACAGACTACTGTAATATAATACATAGGGTAAAGATATGACATGTTTACATGGCCCAAAGTTGGGCGCCATATCACAATTTCAAGATATTACTGGTGAACAAAAATGGTAACACCCACGCTTTTTACATAAATTTTTTAACATCAATGCTTAGATACAAAAATAATAGAATCTGATGTTTTGAAGAAATGATATTATATTTTAAAAGTTTTTTTCATAGGCAAAATTGATGACTTGTCTGACTTCATGGATGATGTAAAATAACTCTCTGTATGGTTTATACTTAAAATAGCCTTATTGAAAAATCCAAATTGATCAGCAAGAAGGCAAAAATTAGCTACTGGCAATAAGATCTACATGTACACATAAGATGTGAACTTCAGTCAGATTTTGGCATGTCAGTCTTGTATTTGAGACTTTGCTGTGTAATCTTTTTATTTCTGGGCAAAGCAAAATCATACAAATGTATGAGATTTGTAAGATTCAAGATTTTCTTTCAAAATGATTTAACAGTTATTTCATCATACCCAGGAAAACACAAAATAAATTATAATCAGATTTATTCAGAAAAAAAAATCTTTATCAACCAAAATGTGTCTAGGAAAGTCTGTGAAAAAAAAAACTGCAAAAAAACTCAATTTATAATGATGAGGAGGAATACAAAAAAATCATTGACCCATTTAATGAAAGCGCAACCTTTAATAGAATGATAAACAAATTGAACTAATCAAAAATTCTGTTTTACATCGATGATTAAAAGATTTTAGATTTATAAATGAAAATTGTTAAATTCCTATCACATTAGTTTCATTTTGTTTTACCACAAAGACAGCATTGGTTGCAATCATTTAAATGTGTAATTATAATAGAAGAAATATTTTTGATTGAAATTTTTGCTCATACACCTGGAACAAGTATAATTATAATTTTTATATTTCTTTCGAAAATTGGAGAACCAATCTTTAAACAGCTTTTGTTACAATTCTTGATCAGTGTTCCAGGCATATACAACAGACAAATACAACTCTCAATGTAATAAGGACATTTGTTGGTGCTAGCATAGTGTTAATCTGCTGAGATCTTTTCATTATTTTGACTTTTTGATCAGTCCGGTGTCAAACTTATAATCTTAAACTCAAAGTTTTGACAATCAAACATGGATGAATTGTGTAAAAGCAAAATTATAAGTCATGCAGCAAAGAAAATGTTTAGGGAAAGATGACATAACTATCCAGTAAATACACCAGGAATGCTGATTAAAATAATTATACAATGTTGCGATAACATTTTTTGTTTCACTTACATTCATTAGAAATACCATTTTATCATAATCTCAAGTTCAATAGAGATATGTTGGGACTTGGCAGAGTGATTTGCGCATTGAACTAGTATCTAAGGATTGCTAGCGTTGTGAGTTCAAACCCCTTCAGGGGCAAAAAGATGTTTCTTTGATGAAAAAAAAACTTTACACTTATAATCATTGTTTAGTTATGATAAGTTCCATGAATGGATTGATTGGAATCAAGAGTGTGTTAATAAGCTCATAGCTTACACAATCAAGAAAAGTAAATAAACTTTTTTCTTTCCTTTTGCAAAAAATACTATGTTATTTTTCTCCAAATTAAGAATTTCCCTACCTGTGAAGAGAAGCCCTGTCTGCCAATTTAGCATTAGCCCGCAAGGTCATGGATAGTATAATTTGGGTCAGGCCCATCAAATTTGCAAAGTATTAAAGTAGCCTAACTGGCCTATGAAAAAATAGCACTGAATTATTTCTGGAAATGAATAAATTTGAAATAAAATCACTAATTCATCATCAAATCAGGGAAAAGAATTACAAAATAAGTGTATGAGTACATGTACAGTAAATGTATAATAGGTTCATTCCATGTTTTATGGTGCATGATATTATTTTTTGCTGGATATAACTTTATTTGCTGTGCACAGGTATTTGATTGGAATTTTTCCTTGTCTAAAGTTTTCTTTATCTTTCTTTCAGTTGATCATTTCAAGAATGTTGCAAGTGATTATAAAGATGTTGCTATAGAAACAGCTAAAGACATGAAAGAACGACCAATAAAATCCGGGATCTATATTTCTCTACTTACCACATCAGTTGTACTTTGGAAAACAAATCCTGGTGAGAAGGAATACCATGCTCGACTGACTGAAAGTGTAACAGATCTAATGTTGGTGGGAGAACGTATTCGCAATCCTGAAAGTGTCGCCAAGATAAATCAATTGTCAAGTTTAGCAAATGATGGAAAACTCAGGTGTTACAATATAGGTATTTGTTCACTCATGTGTTTAAAAAGTCATGGACCAGAAGTGAAGCTATATTCTTCCACCTGTAAATATATTAACCCACACTGGACTGAATTTTATAAAACTATCGTGGATGTAGGCATATTTGGAAAATGGATTAAACTGGAGGAATCAATGAAAGACTTTGATATCAATCCAGGTGAATGGAATGAGGATGGACAGCCAAACCCGAACTTTAAATTCTTTAATAGTAGTTTAGTGTCGTGGGATATGAAATTGAAATAACACTTTGTGATAATGAACTATATATCTTTTTATGTTGAGTATTGTCCACAGCCTGAAAAGTCGGGCCCCATATAAGTTTGAAAAAATGAATGTTATGCAATGAAATGCATGATTTATAAGTATTTGGAATATGTTAAAAAAAAATCATATGCTTAGTTCTCCTGTTGGAGCCATTCTTAAAATGGAAAAGAATGATTTTTATTACTTAATTAAAAAATGAATTATCACATTGACTTTCCCTTTTTATAATATTAAAATTTTGTATAAACCTTTGAATAATGTTATTACAACAATAAATAGATCTTTTCATAAGAGACATGTAAAAAAAATTACATAAGTTTTGTTTTGCATTATAACACCATATTATAATGATTGAGAATGATATAGAAATATATATACATCTATAGAGCAGTGTTTTTTTCTACTTTTACGCAGTTGTGTCTTTGAAAAATTCAAGGGACCTAATGATTGTATTCTGAATAATACATTTCATGTTAACAGGTTGTTTCCCTTTATACACAAGCAATTTTGAAAATACATTTTTTGTCTTCAACTCTTGTTAGGTTAATGAAGCGTAAATTAAAAACAATTTAATATTCTTACTTTTCTCAAAGTTACATTTTCTTATTTTGTTTTATTACTGAAATTAAAGTTTTTACAAAATGTTACACATTTAAGGTTTTGGTGGATTTCTTTGAAAACTAGACACTAACATGAATATTGTCAGTGAGATGGAACATGTAAATATGAGTTTTGTATGTAGATTTTTAGCTTACTAGATGCAAGGGTTCAAAATAAACTTTAAGAGTAGGAATATTGTTCATCTTCCTCACCAGAAACTAATGCTCTCATTTCTCTGACATGACCGTTTATCAAGTTTGTTGCATAGCATAAGTATTTCCTATATTTCTACAAACGGCAGCGTCTAACTCTGCAACAGATTTTATAACATCTGTCCATCAAATATCTATATTGGATGAATGTTTAGGGAGCCGAGATCTGAAAAACATGAAGCCCAAACTTTGTTGATTCTCAAATAAATCATATAGGTGCCAAATGTTTGCTCTAACCATTTTACAACATCAATCGATGGTTTTAAGGTCATCCTATCTTGTTGATTTTGATAACTCTCAAATCACAGTTCCTTTTCCTTTCCATTCTAAAATGAAATAATTATTGCAGATTTTTAGCTCACCTGTCACAAAGTGACATGGTGAGCTTTTGTGATCACTTTTCGTCTGGCGTCCGTCCATAAACTTTTACTTTAAACAACATCTCCTAATAAACCGCTAAGCCAATTTCATCCAAACTTCACAGGAATGTTCCTTTGGTAGTCAACTTTAAAAATTGTTCAAAGAATTGAATTCTAAGCAGAACTCTGGTTGCCATGGCAACAAAAAGAAAAAACTTAAAATATCTTCTTTTAGAAAACCGAAAGAGCTAGAGCTTAAATATTTGACATGAAACATCATCTAGTCAGTGTCTACCAAGTTTGTTCAAATAAATGCCATTGGGTCAAAATTGGCCCTGCCCCGGGGGTCATTGATTTTCCTTATTTGTATGTAGTAAAAACTAAAAAAAAATCTTTTAAAAAGCCCAAATAGCTAGAGCTTAGATATTCAGCATGAAACATCTTCTAGTGGATGTCTACCAAGTTTGTTCAAATAAAAGCCCTGGGGTTAAAATTGGCCCACCCCCAGGGGGTCATTATTTTTCCCTATATGTATATAGTAAAAACTTAAAAAATCTTCTTTTAAAAAAACCCTAAGAGCTAGAGCTAAGATATTTAGCATGAAACATCTTCTAATGGGTGTCTATCATTTTTGTTCAAATATTTAATAAGGGCCCTAGGGTTAAAATTTGTCCGGTCCTGGGGATCATTGATTTTCCTTATAATTATGTATATAGTAAAAACTTACAATCTTTTAAAAAAAAAGCAAAGAGCTAGAGTTTAGAAATTAAGCATGAACTATCTTCTAGTGAGTGACTACCAAGTTGGTTCAAATAAAAACCCTGGGGACAAAATTTGCCCCGCCCAGAGGGGGAGGGGGTGGTCATTGTTTTTCCCTTTATGTGAAACATTTTCATATGGGTGTCTACCAAGTTTGTTCAAATAAAAGCCCCTGTGTTAAAATTGGCCCAGGGGGCCTATATACAGGTGAGCGATTTCAGGGTCATTATGGCCCTCTTGTTCATTTAGCAGTCAATGATTTACTTGCCTTTCTCTAAATGGAAGTCCAGTTGGTTACTTCTAAACAGCAGCCACCCATATTGATTGTCAAATTGGCAGAATCTCCAGATTCTGATGTCCTATTTTAATAATTGTCACCATGAAATGTTCAGGCTGTCTGCTAAGTAGTTATTTGGCAGATTTTTTATTGTGTTCATTCTTTTTGGAAGAACAAATGGGGGTGTAGAAATGGCCTCTGTCTGTCTTTGTGTTCATCAGTCTGACTGTCTGTTCATCACACTGTACCCAGTTCATAACTTGGTTATTCATCAAGGGATTTTGAAATAACTTGGCACATATGTTCACCATGAGGTGATGTGTAATGTACAACACCCAGACCCTTACCACTCAAGGTCACACCTAGGTCAAAGCTTAACATGTTTTGTTATAGGGCATGTTTGTGTCCAGTCCACAAATTTTCCATTCATCAAAGGAATTTGAAGTTTGCACAAATATTCACCACATAAAGATACTTATATAATGTCATGCACAACACACAGACGACTACCACCAAGGTCAGGGTCACACATAGAGGTCAAAGCTAAGATGGTAATGTATCTTTCTTGTTGAAAGAATAACTGCAAGTATTACAGAGATTCCAGTGAAACTTAAAATATAAATAGATAACAGTGAAAGGGAGAGCACTGCAAGAGGGTTTTTTTTTTTTTTTTTCAACTTGTCTTTATTTGCATACCATATGTTCTACCAGAGTTTTAGGCCTTGCAGCTGAAGTTGCCATCACAAATAAGGTGCATGCTTTTCCTTCCGCTATGCTATTGCATGGGTTATGTGAATCAGTGTTGCATCATTTTAGTTAGCAACAAAACAAAGTTTAATCATTTTTAAAGTGATTGTCCGGTTAAAGTCGTAGATCACATGAAGACTGAGATTATGTGGTACCCATAGTCAAGTTCCAACTTGATCATTATAGTCACTCAAAGAAGAGAGGGGCATGCAATGGTGTGTATAGGATGACATATAGTCACTCAAAGAAGAGAGGGGCATGCAATGGTGTGTATAAGATGACATATAGTCACTCAAAGAAGAGAGGGGCATGCAATGGTGTGTATAGGATGACATATAGTCACTCAAAGAAGAGAGGGGCATGCAATGGTGTGTATAGGATGACATATAGTCACTCAAAGAAGAGAGGGGCATGCAATGGTGTGTATAAGATGACATATAGTCACTCAAAGAAGAGAGGGGCATGCAATGGTGTGTATAAGATGACATATAGTCACTCAAAGAAGAGAGGGGCATGCAATGGTGTGTATAAGATGACATATAGTCACTCAAAGAAGAGAGGGGCATGCAATGGTGTGTATAAGATGACATATAGTCACTCAAAGAAGAGAGGGGCATGCAATGGTGTGTATAAGATGACATATAGTCACTCAAAGAAGAGAGGGGCATGCAATGGTGTGTATAGGATGACATATAGTCACTCAAAGAAGAGAGGGGCATGCAATGGTGTGTATAAGATGACATATAGTCACTCAAAGAAGAGAGGGGCATGCAATGGTGTGTATAGGATGACATATAGTCACTCAAAGAAGAGAGGGGCATGCAATGGTGTGTATAAGATGACATATAGTCACTCAAAGAAGAGAGGGGCATGCAATGGTGTGTATAAGATGACATATAGTCACTCAAAGAAGAGAGGGGCATGCAATGGTGTGTATAAGATGACATATAGTCACTCAAAGAAGAGAGGGGCATGCAATGGTGTGTATAGGATGACATATAGTCACTCAAAGAAGAGAGGGGCATGCAATGGTGTGTATAGGATGACATATAGTCACTCAAAGAAGAGAGGGGCATGCAATGGTGTGTATAAGATGACATATAGTCACTCAAAGAAGAGAGGGGCATGCAATGGTGTGTATAAGATGACATATAGTCACTCAAAGAAGAGAGGGGCATGCAATGGTGTGTATAAGATGACATATAGTCACTCAATGAAGAGAGGGGCATGCAATGGTGTGTATAAGATGACATATAGTCACTCAAAGAAGAGAGGGGCATGCAATGGTGTGTATAGGATGACATATAGTCACTCAAAGAAGAGAGGGGCATGTGATGGTGTGTATAGGATGACATATAGTCACTCAATGAAGAGAGGGGCATGCAATAGTGTGTATAGGATGACATATAGTCACTCAAAGAAGAGAGGGGCATGCAATGGTGTGTATAAGATGACATATAGTCACTCAAAGAAGAGAGGGGCATGCAATGGTGTGTATAGGATGACAATTTCAGTCATTATACCTCAACCACTACAAAAATGTTCAGTACATCATTAAGAGCAAATTGAAATAAAATAGCCCTGTCAACAAATGACTTTAATATGGTGCCAATATTAATTTTTTACTTTAGCAAATGCTGATTTAAGGATGCAAATAATTATAAAATATTTTATTCATACAAAGGGCATCATCTCAACCCATGGTTATTGATACTGCTGAACAACATTTAATGTGCGAAGTGTAGGTCAAGTGTAAAAGTGAAGTGTAAATGTAACAAGTTGCAGTTACTGAGGATGGAAAAGTGAGGATGCAATAAAAATTTGAGCACAGCTATGTGCACAATTTTTGTATTGTTATGGATTTACTTTGATACATTTTGTAAATGTGTATAAATTTCCTGTTAGTTCTTTTACTGACATGAAATACATTTATGAAGTCTACAATTAGTTATACTAAATTGCTGTAATAACTGTCATAAATATATGAGATCTTTAATTTTGTCCATATAGCTATTCACAAGAGTTGTAAAGGTATTTGAGCCGCGTCACGACAAAACCAACATAATGCGTTTGCGACCAGCAATGGATCCAGACCAGCCTGCGCATCTGCGTAGTCTGATCAGGATCCATACTGTTCGCTATCAGTTTCTCTACTTGTAAGAGTTGGTAAGCGAACAGCATGGATCCTGATCAGACTGCGCGGATCCATGATGGTTGCAAACCCATTATGTTGGTTTTGTCATGACGCGGCTCATTTATTGATGGCACTGTACACAATTTAACACTGGTTAATGTGGCTGACTTTAAACAACTTGCCCTTAACCTCCTAGGGTTCAAATCTCAACAAAATCGTGGTTTCTTTCATGCACGAAAGCTATCTACCTAGCTTACAGAAGGTAGCTGGTTCTGCTCATGCCTGAAATAATGTATGGAGGATACCCAAGATCTTGCTCCACCAGAACAGCTGGAAAGTTGCATATACCTTAAAAATCTGTGACTTACAACCAAACAACAATAATAAAGAACATCTGCAAAATAAAACATGGAATAGACTTGTTTAATATACTATTCCATATATCAATGAGCATTTTATTAAGTTAAACTGTTAAATGATTGATTTGAAACATGTACACATGGTTTAAATAAATGGATATTTTCTATTTGATTACCTGGAAGAAGTAAAATCACTCTGGCTGTAACAAAAAAAGAAAACACTACTAAATTCTATAATATTTATTTAATCATATAAGCAATAACATAGTAAAGATAATTCTAAGATGAAAATGTAAACAAGAGAATAGTTTAATACCATACTTTGTATGACAATTCATACATTTCATACTAACAACTTTACATGTCAATTCCTGGTATTATGAAACAACAAGTATAAATTGATAGAGTATTTGCAGCACATATAAAAGTAAAATACAGTCCTCCATTACTAGATATTTATATATTATCAGAACAGAAATTGCAGTTACAGTAATACTACATATTTTGGTTTAGAAATACATCTGATAGCTGGTGTTACTAAATCTGGAACTTGTATTTGTAAGTTACTGCTAGTTGAGTTCCATAATTATAAATTAGAAGAAAAAGATGGTACAACACATTGTTGTCAGCCAAATAATCAAACCATGTGCCTCGTGAAGGACTTGAACCCACAGACCTTAGGTACTACATGTACATGACCCTTTGCCTATGAAACGTATGGGGTGGACTTAACCATGTAATGAACAAGAAGACCTAAAATTGAGGTTGTTTTTTTATTTCAGTTGTAAAAAATGAAAAAGTGATAAAAAAAAGAAAGAATTTTCAGAGATGAACAAAAAGTTGGGGTTAAAATATGTCATTAATTTTAGCTACCACCTTAATTCTTCAATTGTATTTCTTATAGTTTTCAAATGAATTATTGTGTATCTATGCAGTTCTTTAAAATTTAAGTAATATAAGTATTGCTGTAACCCCCCCCACCCCCTAAGTACATCATGTCACAATATTTTTTTATATCACTTAATAAATGTCAAGTCTGACAATATATAGGTAAAATAAACTTGGGTCAACTTGTCATTGCTTTTATCTACTGAGCTGTTTATAAACTGCAAGTTTACAAGATTTCTATTGCCTCCCTTGTAACTGAAAGTTGATTATTCTTTACCCCATATGGTAAGCAGTAATAACTTGCTATAATTTATAACTTGAAGACGAATGAATCACTTTAGTTATACAATTATACTATAGGGTTAACGCACGTTTTTCCGTGTTATAACGTCTGCAGAGTCCTGAGGAACAGTTGGTGCCCGAGCCCGGTAGGGCGAGGGCTCCAACAGTTCCGAGGGACTCTGCAGACTTTATAACACGAAATAAACGTGCGTTGATGCTATTATAGCATAAAATTTTCAAACAGATTCGTGATGTATAGTTTATACAAAACACAATTACATTAAATTCTTGTGCTTGGACGGTATTTATCCAATTCTATGTTTTACGCATGCGTTTCATTTTTCCGGGGCCAACAACTTGGAAAATTCTCGGAACCGAACGAAATTTTGAATTTTAATTGATTTAACAAAGCTTGGCCATTGGAGATTTATTATCTCAAGAAAAAATAAACGTTACATTACTCTACCCTCTACCCAAGACAAAACATGACCCTCAGAATCTTAGAATGATTTCAGATTGACGCTAGAAAAAAGATCAGTGACATCAGAATCGGTTTTTTTTTTCAAGCAAACAAGTTTATAAAAATCAGGCACTAAGCATTATTCTCTCAAAGAAATATAAAGAGCATTTATCAACATTAACATAAATAAAAAAACATTTTCTCATATTAATTTGGTGTTATCTAGTTTTGTAAGTTAATCGGAGTGTTAAACTGAATGACAGGTAGATTCTACGGTATTTGTTTACATTGACAACTGTCCGTTTCTTAGAAAGGGCCACAACCAAGATTAGCAAAGAAGTCTATACGCCGTTTTTCCGGCATAGTTACTTGAATATGCTACTGAGGCCCTCGAATCAATTAATTTCAATATAACAAGAGCGCATGACTCTTTGGCAAACAGGCCAAATCGTCATTTTTTGTTTGTTTGTTTACTGGGCCCTGTATGTATTGCGCATAGGTGAAACCGGGCTATAACAAGAGCGCGTGACTATGTTAACACATGGTTTTGGTCCCGTTATAACATGGGCAAAAGAGGGAAAAATAGCCGATTTTATGCTATAATAAATAATATAACAGTTTTACAGAAAATGTAGGATATATGAAGTAAGACATTTATGTACATTTTCCAACAGTACATTCATGGATTTTTTCTAAAGAGAGTACACAAACTCACTGGTAAGAAACATGTAGATTAAAAAAAATTTAGTCTCATTGCAAGGCCTGTAATTCAAGACGCTGGTATTCCTTCAATAGTTTTGGTGGCTTTCATTGATCAGAAATCAATAAATCAATACCTTTGCAGAAAAAGAGCTCTTATTTCTAGGTGACTGAAATTTTATAATCAATTTAAACTGTGTATGTATTATTTGAAATACAATGTTTGTGGGTATACATTGTAATTTAAACAACTTTTTATTCATGAAATTCTTATTGGAATAAAATTGAAAGTCAAACACATTTCTTCAATAGGTGATATTCAATATAACTTGAATAACTAGAGAATTAAACTTTGGGCGAGTATTTCAGTACACATAAATCACTCAAGTTTTACAGTTTCTTACCACAAGATGTAAAATGTATTTTTACTTGATGAAAAAACTGTCAATAAAAACCCCCCTATATTGCCGCAATGTTTACAAAAGCCTTACTTCAAGAACAATGTGAATTGAAATGTAAAGAAATAAATCGAAACCGTTGAAGCACTTTCGTTTTTAATTAAGATTCATTTCTAAGTGAGATTTGTTATTTAATAAAAAAAAGTTTTAAATTTTATTGCAAGATGGTAAGCGACAAAGATATTAGCTGCTCATATTTTTGCATTCTAACCAGATGTTATATAAGGCTGCAAATTTATGTCGAGATCTGTTCTCTTACAATAAATGGTTCAAAATCCAAAACTATTATAGTCATGCCCATTATAATAATCATAAATATACCAAAGTTGAATTTTACAAATTCAAAGGTTACAAATTGAAAGGAAGTAAAACCTTTAGAAGATTTGTTAATACATTTGTATAACATACTAGACAGTTGATCTCACATGCTATACAGGACATAAACAACACTTAAAATGCAAAACAATGGACTAAAATGTGTTTCGTTGAAACACTGGTAAACATACACTTGTACTGAGCAAATTATATCACAGATTGCTTTTATAACTGTGAAAAATACTGGCTCAAATCTACAAATAAATTGATTTACATAGCAATAAATATACAAAGAAAAATGAAAATTTACCAATATTTTCTTTTCAGTGAAATGTTTTGTTATAACAATTTCAATACCACGAAATTTAAGACTTTGAATTAAAGCATTAAGGGATTCAGAGTTGAATTATTCATATATAAAGGGGCTTAGAGTTCCTTTCTGATGCCTTATGCTTTAAACAAAGAAAACATCAGTGAACTTGTTTGTGTGTTAAAGTGAATATATGCAATGTGAAAATAGTAAATGCTTAGTACAAATATGTTCAAAGTTCGAAATTTTTACATCAAAAGAAAACATGTTTGTACATGTGTAGATATTCTATACTATAATTTTATGATTTTAATTCATCAAAAATCTTAGAAAAATTAGAAATAGTTATCCATACAAATTTACCATGTAGTATTTGTGAAATGAATAATTTCTGAGGTACACTACATATTTTTATTTAAGACAAAAAAAATGGGTGAAATTATAAATTATTGGCTCACTGCATATTTAATATTGTACACTGCAATACAATACTTTTCAACACTATACATTCATTATGAAAAGAAGTGTTACCTTTCACTTTTAAAGAATTATTCAGTATTCATTTTTATGAATTGATCAAACATACATGAAACTTTTTAAATGAAATGTGTTAGGTAAAATGTAAATATTTGCACTGAACATTATTTCCAACTTACCAATAATATTTTCACTTACAAGTAATAATAAGTAGTTACTGACTCTATATATGGTAATATTAGCTAATATAGCTGATAAAACTTCACTCTATTTTCTTTCACAAACTCAGTTTTGTCTGAGTTTTTAATGCTTGAATTGTTTTATTTTACTACAAGTCTCTAAAAAAACTTGTTTGAAGAATAAATGTCTTCAATTATAAATTAATATTCATGTAATAAAATATTTCAATTAAATAACAGCTTAAATTTTAACTACTTAATAGATATTGATAAATTGCCTATATTTGGCCGTAATGAGCCCTAACTTAAATCACAGCAAGTGCGCCCTCTAGTGGCAAGTTTTTTCTTTGTGTCTTTTATCAGCAGACACTACTGATCCTATCCAATATTGGCAGTTATTCATCCATCCTCCTCAATATATCACATTAATCTGTAATATGTCAATGAACCTGTTCCATAGTTAATACATACAGACTTTAGTGCCGTAACCCATTTCTGTCTATATTATCAAAAGATTATGATAAAATGCAGAATAGTCGGGGACTGGCTAGCACAAGAATTTATAATAAATTATCACAGCAGTATCTAAGTCAATGTTTGTTCAAGAATCCCTATCAGCTTTCTTTTTCTTTAACCGTTTTGATCTTTCCCAGCGTACAGTGTCGCCCTCTAAAGCACCTAGTTCTATTAAACGTTGCTGAAATGAGGCTGGAGCACCAATCATAGGGTCAGTATATTTTGGATCTGAAAGACAATAATTAAAACATCATAATAAAGTAACATAAATTATACTTCCTGCAAATCATCTATTGAATAATAAATAACTTCCTTAAGGATGTTCACTTTCATTTATTGTAAATATTCTTGTTTGAATCGATGAAACTGATTAATATTTAATACACTAAATAGATATTCTTTACAACAGCAACAATCATGGCATTGTAACTAGATAAAGGAAACATCAGAGAATATCGGAAAGTTGTAACATGTTAAGCTTCACTCTACAATTCAATCACTCTCTGATTCTCCACTTGAAAAGTCAATGACAGTATTGATGATTACATTAAAGCCATGTTATTGACTTTGGTCATCAAAATTCACTGACAGATTTCCAATTTTCTTCATAAGATTGGAGATATTTGTGTCAATAGATTCAAATAGAAAGGTTTAAGTGTTAAAATGTATTTAATAGTCACATTACAACAATACTTGATACAGTTGGAAAACATTGGAAAGTAACAAAAGTGGTTTCATATTGAGTTACAGACTGAACAAAAAATCTATGATGACCTGACCGCATGATTCAACAAGACCATGGGGTGCAGTGTTAATGCTTGTCTGTTAATAACAAATTTTCAGAAGTTGAGAAAGGGTATAACTGCTAAAATATTGCATTCAGGATAATGCCCCTTGTATAACAACCTTGTCATGATAATCAAGTGGTCCAAGTTTCATGTTTATAGCTTTGATACTTTTGGAATCCACCTACTTAGTAGACAATCTTGACAAAAATTCTAGTTAAAAAGGGGTATAACTCCAAAAATACTTCATATTTGGGTACCATTCAAAGTGTTGAAATCATTCTACTTCAATAGCAATTTTGGCCAAAATTCTAAGTTAAATAGGGGCATAACTCCTGAAATATTGCTTCTTTGTCTTATCATGATTATCAACTACTCCAAGTTCCAATTTGATATCTTTAAAATTGTTCGAGAAATGGGCTACATTAAAGTTTTTGCATGACGGCAATGACAACAAGGATGTCATAGGCATCATGATAGCTTAACTTTTTCTTTGAAACAGACAAGCTAAATATAGTTGTTTCTTTAGACCTTATACTATAGACAATTAAACATGACAATATGTGGATACTAACCTTCCTGTTCTTTTGTACTGTTACTATTTTTTCTCCCTGAGACATTATTCTGGACCTGTATCGGTCGTATACTATTGCCAGGGTACTTGCGTTGAGAGTTCAGTGTATTATTAGATGATGACATTGAATGATTGACACTACTTGAAGATGAGGCAACTTTTGATGGAAAAGAGTTTGTGTTACTGTTTGATACACCATTATTTCTGTTGCTACTTTGTTGTTGTTGTGAGGACATAGCTGAAGCTGATCCTACTGGTGGTGGTTGTCCTGGGTTGTTGTTGTTTGGGCTCCATAGAGTTCCCATGGCAACCAAGTCATCCTGATCACGACCTGTTTAAATCAATTTTAAATTTGCTATCATACAATCAATCAATAGTATTACAATTCTTTACTTATATATTTCATGAAAACATGTATAATGATATTACATTTTTTTTGTATTATCAAACTAATGGTATTTAAATTGCTACATACATTGAATCAATATTGTTTTTTTTTGTTGGGTTTTACATCGCAGCAATACAGTAAAGGTCATATGGCGACTGTCGATGAAGACCCTATTATTTCAGGCAATAATATGCACCTGAGTAGAACCACCAACCAACTTTCTTAAAGCTAGCTGGATAGCTTCCTCAATAAAAGAAGTGGTTTGAAGTCAATGACTGTAACCACTCAGCCACAAATGCCCCCCCCCCCCCCCCCCCCCCCCCCCCGCTGTATCAATGCTTATTCATTTTTTATCATAGAAGGGAATATTAAGCTGTAGGGTAGATGTTACGAGGCTGTGCTAAATTACAAGTTTATTACAAATGTTACCAGGGAGCCTGATACTCCCTTTTGTACAGGATACTCCCTGGTACAGGTACAGACAGCCAGTTTTTGATTCTTTTCTGGTATATTTCATATTGACTGTAGTTTAAAATATTTAGCATGTTTTCTTTATATTTCATAGTAGCCCATGTAATTTCATCTCCATTAATAAAGGTAACAAACTGACATCATTTACAGGTGTGATTTTACTTACACCTTTGTGGTGAAATATATAAAACATTTCCAGTAAACCCTAGAAAATCCAGTCGGATATGCGAGACACTAAAATTTTTAAAGTTTATTACTAACATCTTGCTTTTTTTTTTATATACAAAAAGGAAACATTTTTATCATTTATATCACAATGTTTGTATAGTTATATCACATCACAATGTCTGTACAGTTACATTATGTCACAATGTGTTATGGTTATATTATGTCACAATGTTTTTATGGTTATATTATGTCACAACGTTTGAACAGTTACATCATGTCACAAGTTTTTAAGGTTATATCATGTCACAATGTCTGTACAGTTTTATAATAATTATGTCACAATGTTTGTACAGTTGTATTATGTCACAATGTTTGTATGGTTATATTATGTCACAATGTTTGTATGGTTATATTATCTCACAATGTTTGTATGGTTATATTATGTCACAATGGTTGCATGATTATATTATGTCACAATGTTTGTACAGTTATATTGTCACAATGTTTGTACAGTTATATCATGTCACAATATCTGTACAGTTATATTATGTCACAATGTTTGTACAGTTATATTATGTCACAATGTTTGTATGGTTATATTATATCACAATGTTTGTATGGTTATATCATGTCACAAGTTTTTATGGTTATATCATGTCGCAATGCCTGTACGGTTATTATATATCACAATGTTTGTATGGTAGTATTATGTCACAGTGTTTGTACAGTTATATTATATCAAATGTTTGTATGGTTATATTATGTCACAATGGTTACATGATTATGTCACAGTGTTTTTATGGTTAAATTATGTCACAATATTTGTACAGTTATATTATGTCACAATGTTTGTATGTTTATGTTGCAGTGTTTGTATGGTTATATACTATGTCACAGTGTTTGTATGGTTATATTATGTCACAATGGTTGCATGATTATGTCACAGTGTTTTTATAGTTAAATTATGTCACAATATTTGTACAGTTACAGTATGTCACAATGTTTGCATGATTATGTTGCAGTGTTTGTATGGTTATATACTATGTCACAATGTTTGTATGGTTATATTATGACACAATGTTTGCATGGTTATGTTGCAGTGTTTGTATGGTTATATACTATGTCACAATGTTTGTATGGTTATATTATGTCACAATGTTTGCATGGTTATGTTGCAGTGTTTGTATGGTTATACTATGTCACAATGTTTGTATGGTTATATTATGTCACAATGTTTGCATGGTTATGTTGCAGTGTTTGTATGGTTGCACTATGTCACAATGTTTGTATGGTTATATTATGTCACAATGTTTGCATGGTTATGTTGCAGTGTTTGTATGGTTATACTATGTCACAATGTTTGTACAGTTACATTATGTCACAATGTTTGTATGTTTATGTTGCAGTGTTTGTATGGTTATATACTATGTCACAATTTTTGTATGGTTATATTATGTCACAATGTTTGTATGGTTATATTATGTCACAATGTTTTTACAGTTAAAATATTACAACCAATGCATATGACATCTGCTAGTTTTAAAAAAATGATATTTTTATTAACTGAAGTTTTGCCTATATCAAGTTATTAAAAATTTATTTACATACCTGGTCTTAAAAAATCTCTTTCCCCTTTGTTTTACTAGCCTTAATTAATATACCTGTTTAGCTAAATACAACCATTGCCAGTTGTTCAAATAATTAATATCCAAAGAGCCATTTATCTACTCCAAAGTCAGCTAAGTATAGCTACATTTATGTACACCTATATCTGAACCAATAAAAGAGAAAAACTCAACCTTATCTCTGTTTAAGTTACACATACTCTATTCAGATCATAAATTTATTACCCGAGCCTGATCAGTCTTTCTCAATGACTTTAGTTACCCCCATTATGAATCAAGATTGTATCAATAATTACAGCCGATAACCTTTATATTCATTTACTCTAACCTTGCATAACATTGAGTATATCCAATCGAACCGCGGCACCTCGGATCATCTTAGTCCCTGACGAAAATGTCGCCATTCCCAATATTTCTTTTTACTCTATATTCAACTATATTACAGACCTCAATCACTTTTTTTAACTTATTGAGAACATGTTATTTCTATAGCTTGTGTTTAAAAATGACAATGTTTCTAATGAATGCGTCTTTTGTTGAATGGATTTCTACATGATTTGTTACGGTCCCTGCTCCGATATATCTATACATATATGTTTGTTATACCACTATTGTGCAAAGTCTAAAAGCCATGCATTAAGAATGTATTTTAAATTTAAAGCGGATTTGAATGGTTATATAGGTTTATATATACTCAATGCATGTTTTGTTTAAAACTATTTAAACAAATAGAATCTATAAAAAGCATGGTCCAGTTTATTTATTTTTATCCATAACTCTGACCTTTTAAACTGATTATGCTGTGTATTTAAGTTAGCATAAAATTAAACCCTTGGTTTAAATCCTGTCAACAGATAATTTGTTTATTATATTAGAAAGCAAATATGGTAAAAGTTTAAATTCTGTATGATATAGGCATTTATAGTAAAAATGTATATTATTTCAATATGTTGTAAAGTTAACAAATTTATTTATAATTGAATCAATTTAATCAAAGTAGTGAACATTAGATTTGTAGTATTGTGTAAAATATATAATTTAGCATGTCATTGCTATATGATGAACTTGAAAAAAATCAACTTGCCAAAAGGGTGAATCAAACATAAATACAACCCTTTAACTTAAAATCAGTGACCCCCAAACTCCACCAAAAGTAGGAGCACCCAATTAAGTGGTCAATAAATAAAGGCTTTATAAGTAAGTGTTAAAACTTATTTTAGCACAGGTGACCTTGACCTTGTCATCCCTCAGACCTGACAAATAAAGTATGTTCCTACTAAATATGAAAGACATTAGTCAATCAATAAAAGTGTGTAAGTCTATTTTTAGCACCCCTGAACTTGACCCCACTGACTCCTAACTCCATGATCATACCAATAATGAAATAATCTGTAATAGGCTGTTTGAGAAAAAGTGTAAAATTCTATTTTTAGCACCAGATGACCTTGACACAACAGGTATAAGACCATAAAAGTTATGTTCCTACCAAGATGTTGTAAGCAAAAGTGTTAAAATCTATTTTAAGCACTTGAGATCTGGACAAGAGGGCTGTGTGAGCAAAAGTGTAAACCAGTTTTGACTTTGACCTTCATCCATGTATGTAGTCAAAGGTTCTAGTATTATCATCATGGTTAAACTTTTCAGCATTGAAACAATAAGCAGACAGAGAATAAAAAAGAAGCCTCCCTAACCCAGTGTTTTTTTCACCAAAATATTCGGCGAAATTCGGCCCCATTCCCCCCTTAAAATAGTATAATGTTTTTTCCCCCCTCAAAGCTGAAATTTCCCCCTATACAGCAGTCCGAATCTGCCTGCAATGAATATCATTCTTTTTTTGCAACTAACTGCCGAAAAAATGTTTTATTTTATGCCTGTAAGACTTACTGTTAAGCAACATTGTTTACAAATCGTTCTTGGGTAGGTAACGGGAGCTTCTTCCGGCGTCCCAACAAGTTTAACATGCGATGCGGCGATATTTTAGATCCGTATATGAAGAAAAAGCGACGTATCTTAAACTTGTGTTGCAAGAGTTGCTCCCCTTTTCTACCGGAAAGACAATACAAAATAGATAAACAAATAAAATTCCCCCACCTATTGCATTTTTTCCCCCTCCAAAAGGCACCGACCCCCTTCCCCCAAAAGTGAAAAAAACACTGCTAACTGAAATCTTAGGAGAAATGCAAAAATTTATAGTTTCTCGACTATCCTTAAAAGGGTGGAATGTTACATGCAATTAGCAAGACTTAGTGTTATAATCCCTGATTTGTTCGGGGGGGGGGAAAAAAAGCCAAATCTTTCAATTGTTAATATAAGGACAGTATAAATTGATTAATCGATCACCTTCAAGTATTTTTTCTCTGTCTAAAATACCTGTCTATTTTTATTCAGCACCATTATTGATCACAGATAAAGGTTACTTCACTTGTCCTTTTGAAGGTTGCCATGTGTTATGTTTACAACAGGCATACCGAGGTCAAAACATTGAACTGGCAATCTACTAAATCTATTGGTCGAAACTTGATATACATTGTATTTCAATCAATTAGCAATACCAAAGGGTTTCCAGTGACTCTGTATTAAGTACAACTTCAAAGTTTCTTCAATTTCAATAATTCCTGCAGCAGGCTTTTATAAAAACTCACAAGTCTTCACAACTTATCAACATTATAGGTATAAAAGTAAATCTTACCTGATGAAGCACCATTGGTTTTATTTGAGAAAAGCTGATCTGGTTTTAATATGTTGGTTCTAATGCCATTAGGTCGGAAATGATGTGACGGTTTAGCCGGAGGTAGAGCTGATGAAAGACTTCTTAAAGGATCTTCCCGATCTTTGTCGAAAGGTGTCACTGAAAATTATTTTTAATTACAATGTATGATATAATTATGTTAAACAGTCAAACTGCTAAAACACGTCCATAATAAAGACCACCATAATAATTTTCAATTTAGTTTTATTCTATGCTCATATTTGAACCACTCTTGAGTCTAATTTCTGGAAGTAACCAGTACTTGTATCATATGAGATAACAGGGTTTGGAATCTACTAGTGCCATAATCTATCAATTGCTCCCTGGGTTGAAAGACACCTTAAGCCATTTCTAACCTTTCATTATTTTTCAATTTCTTTTTACAAAGTCTCCTGGTCGATGACATTTGCTTTAATTGAAAAGATATTTCTGAACCTGGTCCATATATGTCTGTATATCATGTCTAACATGTCTTTATTACACACTGAATCAGTAAAAAAGCATTTTTTTATTATTATAATTTTACAATAAAGTTTCTGTAATACTATTGTTTCAATTTTTATCACCCCACCCGCTGGTGAAGAATGTACTCCTAAGATTAAATATCCTTTTAAAAACAAAGACTTTATTTAAGATTATTCAATAGCAATTTAGAAGCTTTTATTATTTAACCAAATCTTTTAAAAGCATTTCCTGTGTTCTTATTTAATAATATTCTCTTTTGTAACCATGAAAAATACAATCAGAGAAAACAAATACATTTGAGCCGCGTCACGACAAAACCAACATAGTGGGTTTGCGACCAGCATGGATCCAGACCAGCCTGCGCATCTGCGCAGTCTGATCAGGATCCATGCTGTTCACTATCAGTTTCACTACTTGTAATAGGGTTGGTAAGCGAACAGCATGGATCCTGATCAGACTGGCTGGTCTGGATCCATGCTGGTCGCAAACGCACTATGTTTTGTCGTGACACGGCTCATTTTTAGGTCACTATTTAAAATTGAAAAGCTGAAGCTTACTGTAATGTAAACTATTTCTTACCTGAGTCTATAGTGATTGACCTTTGTTTGCCTGATTTACTACTAGGTCTTCTATTGTTTGGATTTTGTTCAAGTTCCTTCGCTCTTGACCTTGCCAATTCTCTACTCTTCTCAAGATCTCCAAAACTGTTCTGCCGTACATCTTCATTCTGTTGTCCACGACTTCCATTTACTTCATTCCCATACAGAATATCTGCTGTTGAGTAAGGAACTGTGGGTGTACTTGATGAACTGTAAGGAAGAACAATTTCTAATTTTAATACAGATGTTATTAATGGAAATCCAACCCTATGAGTAGAAAGTCCAAAATCTGAATTGCCAATTGGGCGTTGCCTTGTATGTAACAAAGTTCCCATCCTGTCTGGATAACCTCTCAAATCACTCTGAAAATTGAAATACATTTGTGTCTTCTCTGTTATTTTATATCGTGACTAAACATAATCAGAAATGTTCTAAGTTGAGAACATTTCCTGAATATTTAATGCCAATGAAATTTATGAGGTATCAGAGCTATCAATGTGTCTCAAACATATTAAACTCCCTGTATAAATTCTACCTAATAGAGGTTCATATTAATTAGAAACTTTTATTAAAGTGTCCCATTAAATATAAGCAGGTGCTATTTACACAGAAGAATTCTGATCAAAGAAACAATAAAAATAGTGACAGTGAAATAAATGTATGTTTAATTGCACTGACAGAAATAAAACTTGGGTTGAACTAAGATAACCTACACAGGTATTCATAGGTACAGATCTATTGATATAATAAATGCAAGTAGCTGTCTTGAATTCCAACAGATAATAAATTATATTTGAATAATTGAATAAACAAATTATTTTAATGCCTAAATCTGCAAGTTTTATTATTTCAGGAATCAATGAATCAAAAAATCAATGTCATCTTTATTTAGAAAATATATTAGTGACAGATAACTTAATAAAGTGTTTATTAATTATACATATATTTATAACACGCTTTGTTGCACATGATATCAGTAATAGAAACATTGCCAACACTTTATGTATAAAGGTTGCAGCAGACATGTTTGGCGTCTGCTGATTGTGTCAAGCAGACGTAAGAAAGTCAATCGACAAAATTGCAATTATATATCCCCTAAAGCCTCTATAAACTCAGACAATTTGGTATTTAATTGAAAAATCAATGTCTCAGCTTGACAATTTCCCTAAATCAATAGCTTCAATTGTTACCTAGACCTAATAACTTGTATTATATGGAATTCAAATTGAACTAATCCTCTTCTTTCCTCTTCTGGATTTTATAACAACCCATAGGTATATCAGATATTGTGATCAGTGAGATTCATATGTCAAATTTTTTTCCCATTTCACAGCTGCTAATTGAAAATTTGACCATTTTAAAGTTAATTTGAAGAAAAGTGAAACATTTTTCATACTTCGGTACATACTGGGTTAATTATGTTTCAAAACAAAAGGAAAACCTTTTCTAACCTCCTAATAAACTTACTAACTTCTTTACATTTTTAGAATCAATCATAAACTAACTTTTATCATGTGCCATCTTTTATCAACAACTAAAGCAACACAATGAGTAAGTAGCTTCATATAAATAAGTACATTATTTCAACATTTAAAGTCATTAAATTATTATTATTCTGACAACAATCTTACAAAAGAAATAATAACGAGTTCCCAGTCATAAAATTTCACATAGTTCCAAGCATATTACTTATCCAGTCACTACACAAAACAAAGACATTCATTAAATGATTATTCTTAAATCCAATTCAACTCAATTAATAAACTTTAATAAATAATTTTAACCTAATAGGTGGTGACGTGTGGTTTCTCTTAGTCCTCCACTACCTCTAGTTCAATTAATAAAAATCTAATTCAATTCAATTCAATTAATTAATCCAATTTAAACACCACCTTAGAACAGAGGTAATGATCAGAACTGATAAAAGCTGTTGCCAACCATCTATATTGTCCACTGCCCCTAATATCTGAACACAGTGAAAAATATTATTTACATATCACTTTTAAATAATTCTAAACATTCTTATGTAGTTCCTTAAAATATCAACTTAAAGACACAAGGTGACTTACTATACACGCCGGATAGTTTTCACACGGACAGGGAACATCCACGGACATTCCGGATAAATAAACGACGCCTTATTCATCAGCAGACCCTCTGGTTTTTCTCTTACCAACATTAATCCTTCTCGAGAAGTTGGACGCAACTGCGACAAACATAAATTTGTGTCTTCCATTGGTCCGGTGAATTACATTAACATATTAATTTGTTATGCACACATTTTTGTGTAAACAGTGAGAATAATAATTCCCGAAGCTGTTGAAGAATTAAACAGAAAAGTTTGAGTGTTTTAGGTTAAGTGACAGCTATAATGTAAACCATGATCAGTAATTGCTCCTGCGGAGCTCTCTATTCATGCTAAAATAGAATCCGGTTATTAAATATCCAATATATCAACGTAACCAGTACAGCTTTTTTCTTTTTGAATATAATTTCAGCAAATTTCTTTTCACCATACTGTATATGATTTCTTATACATATTCAGTGTAGAAAGCTATTCAAATCTTTCTGTCAATCGTTAAGAAGTTTTATAATTCCCACTTATATCAATCCAAACTGTCAGGGAAAAAAATAGTATAGACTGAAATTTAAGAATACACATGAGATGTTTTCAAATCAAATGATTATGTATGCAGTTTATGACAGAAATTGCTGCATGCAGTTGAATTAGATCCAACAAAATATTCTCTATATACACACTTTTCCTGTCTTAATTTTTCTACTACCTACACACATATTAATTCACTATCAATCTTAATTATTTCCTATGCAGAATAAAATCATGTTTATATATAAATTAAAATCAAACAAATTTTAAACAAGTTGACATAGATAGTGAAAGACATTTAATCTAAAATTTAAACATTAAGACACCATACAAAAATCGCCAACAAGTTAAAACAAGATTTAAAACCATTTATAACCACAAAATTACTTAAATTTGATGTCTCTATCAAAGTGTAAATAAAATTTACAATTGAGGGCCATCATTATAATGTTCTCTGGTCTTACACTTCCATATCAACCTGATAACATCAGAATAAATAACAAACCACATATTGTAGAGTGCCATAAAAAAATCAAGGTGGTGATAAGAAAATCAAAGTTCAAATTCTGATTGAAAAATTAATGTATATGTTGAGTTTTTATCATATTTTCCAAGCACTTAGGAATTTCAATAAACCTCCTGTAAGGTTTGAGGAGATTACAAGCACATTGGGAATGAATGAATATGATTCAGTGATCAGTCGGGTTTCTCCACAAACCAACACAAAAAACTAAAGATGAATTATGAATAAACAGTACGAAATAAAAACTTCCAACGTTTCTATAAGACACAGATGCCCGAACAATCCAGTCTAATGTCAATCAACAGAGGGAAATACCTCCCGCATAGAAAAATAGAACTATTGCTGAATGCAATTCATATTCCAATCCATTCCCTGTAGTAGTTTTTGAGATATCAACTTGCATGCAAAAATTCTTGTCCTCAAATAATCTACTAAATAGGGACAAAATTGTACAATTAACTATTCAATGATATTTTTATAAAAAAAATGACCATAAATGATCATAATAGCTTGACCAATTAGCTATAATAAGAATCTGACAAGCTCTTGAAACACTTTAATACATATAAATTTTCAAGTAAAAAGGGGCATAACTACTGTCAATATTCAATGAGGAGTCATAGAACTTTGCCTTTTGAGCTTTTTGTGATCTGAAAGTAAGAGTTGTTAAGTTGGCTCCAATACCTGACTACACAAAGCTTTAAGTCAATTTCTGTTCTGGTTTAAGAAATATTATATGGTAATTGCAAGTTTTTAGATTAAATTTAAAAGGAGCATAACTTTGTAAACATGCAAAACAGAATTATGAAATCTGACCCTATAGTTTCAATTGAATATCTGATCTAAAGTCAGAAATACATTCAGGATCATTTTCTAAGTAAAAAAGAAACTTTTTGCCTCTGTAATATATGTACATGTATATGCAATGTGTCAAAGGATTACTTCTTGCTGTAATTCAACTTAAACTAACTATAATTTAATCAAAACAAAGGGCCATGTTTTAAAGCACAATTCTGCAACAAGCAATGATTTAGGTAAAGTACCTTTGGGTGTATTCATAAACATACAATTCATTTTGCAAATAGATTTGTGATTTATTTAAGCAAATATATTAAATTAAGTAAACATATTCGCTTTTGAATTGGTTTTCATCATTTAATACCATTATGCTACCCACAGGAGGAGTACACCCCACACACAGTACCAGTATACATGTATAATTATTTCTATAAATGGACTGTCATTAACTTAATCAAGGGACACAACATAACAGAAAATCATAAACCTTTACAATATGATTAACTCCCTTGGCATAATATTATTATAAGTACAAAAAATGATATGTATTTACTTTATAGAAGTGACACTTCTCCTTGGTGTAGCACTAGCTGATGTTGATGGCCTTGACCTACATGTAGTGTCATCCTGACCTAGTAATGTTATAGAACATCTAGCACCATAGATACATCGTAATGTAGAATGATTACGCCTTAATAATGCTGTAGTTCGGGGACGCCCATTTCCTGATACAAGCATTGTGTTCCGACTTTTAAAAGTCATCAATAAGAGAAAACTTTCAAAAGTTATTAGCTATAAAGTTCCTGAGTTGACATACAAATTAAATGTCTTGGTATCACTTTTGTTACATTTGTTATTTCTGACAGTTATAAACAAAACTAATATATCTCCATTCCATATTAAGGTAATCCAATAAATATATTTTTCAAAATGTCATCCCTATCCCCTTTTTTTTCCTTTTTTTCTCCGCACAATTGTTGTTGTTGTTGTGTAGTTTAAATATCATTAAGTGCAAGGTAATCACAGCTAATGCTTTTTTTTAAGTTTTAACAATATTTACAGCATAATTTAATCTGAAATACTGTTGAATACAGCTGAAATAAATTGTATGCCAAATACACATCTCATTAACCTTCCATCTGCAGGTATAAATTTGTATGATTTTATAATATTGCTTCATCTATTACAACATTGATGACATTTACATTTTGTAAAGCTTATTTGAAAAAAAAAACTTTTCCTTTAGCCTTTTAAGAAACACTTTTAGTGCATAAATTAATT